CCAATAAATCTAGTACCCATCTGACACCATACATATAGTTATTACAATATTACTGACTATATTCGTTATGCTATACCCTACATCCCATGAATACTTTATAACAACCAATTTGTACTTCTTAATCTCTTCTCCCTTTTTACCCACCACTCCAACACCCCTCCCATCTGGCCACCATCAAAATGTTGTCTGCATCTGTGAGTCTGTTTCTGTTTTGTTTGTTTTGTTCTTTAGATCCCACATATAAGTGAAATCATATGCATTTATCTTTCTCTATCTGACTTCACTCAGCACAGTACTCTCTAGTTCCATCCATGTTGTTGCAAATGGCAAGATTTCATTCTTTTTTATGGCTGAGTAATAGTCCATTGTATATATGTACCATCTCTTCTTTATCCAGTCATCCATTGATGGACTTCCATGTTGCCTCCATATCTTGGTTATTGTAAATAACGCTGTAATGAACATAAGGATGCTCATGTCTCTTTGAAGTAGTGTTTTGCGTCTCTTTGGATAAATACCCAGAAGTGGGATTCCTGGGTCTGGGTCCTTCTTTGTCTCTTGTTATAGCCTTTGTTTTAAAGTTTATTTTGTCTGGTATAAGCACTGCTATGCAAGTTATTCTTTTGTTTCCATTTTCATGAAATATCTTTTTCCCATTCCTTTACTCTCAGCCTGTGTGCCTTTCAATCTTTAGTGAGTCTCTTTGTAGGCAGCATATATAAGGTTCTTGTTTTCTTATCCATTCAGCCACCCTGTCTTTTGATTGGAGCATTTCATCCATTTACATTTGAAGTAATTGTTGATAGATACAATATATGTAGTTATTGCCCTTTTTATTATTTATATTTTTTATATATTTTTTGTCATCGTTGTCTTCTTAAAGAAGTCCCTTTAACATTTCTTTTAATACTGGTTTGGTGGTTATGAGCTCCTTTAGCTTTTTCTTGCCTGGGAAGCTCTTTATCTCTCCTTCAATTTTAAATAATAGCCTTGGTGGATAGAGTAGTCTTTATTGTACATCCTTGCTTTTCACCACTTTGAATATTACCTGCCAATCCCTTCTAGCCTGCAAAGTTTCTGTTGAGAAATCAGATGTCAGTCTTATGGGAGCTCCCTTGTAGGTAATTAACTGGTTTTCTCTTGCTGCTTTTTAAGAGTCTCCCTTTATCTTTAAGCTTTGTCATTTTAATTATGATGTGTCTTGGTGTGGGCCTCTTCAGGTTGATACTGTTTGGGACTATGTGCATCTTGGGCTTGTATGTCTATTTCTTTTGCCAGGTTAGGGAAGTATTCCATCATTATTCCTTCTAATAGGTTTCCAATTTCTTGCCCTCTGTCTTCTCCTTCTGGTACCCCTATGTTGTGAATGTTGGTATACTTAGTGTAGTCCCCAGAGACCCTTTACACTCTCCTCACTTATTGGATTCTTTTTTCTATGTGTTGTTCTGACTGGGTGTTCTCTGCTACCTTTTCTTCTAAATCACCGATTGAAACCACTGCTTCATCTGATCTACTGTTGATTCCCTCTAATGTATTCTTCATTTCAGTTCTTCTGTTATTTCTGACTATTTTTTTATATTCTCTATCTCCACTTTCATGTTTCCTGTCTCTTTGATGAAATTCTCAGTGAGATCATTGAGCATCTTTATAAGCAGTGTTTTGAACTCTGCATCTGGTGTATTGCTTTTCTCCATTTTGTTTAGTTCTTTTTCTGGAGTTTTGTTCTATTCTTTCATTTGGGACATGTTTCTCTGTCTCCCCATTTTGGCTGCCTCCTATGTATTAGGTAGAGCCGCCATATCTCCCAGTCTTAGTAGAGTGGCCTTATGTAGTAAGTGCCCTGTGGGACCCAGTGGTGCATTCTCCCTGGTCACCTGAGCCAGGTGCTGCAGGTGTGTCCCTTGTGGGGGTTGTATGTGCCCTCCTGTTTGTTGTTGAACCTTGGTTGCTGCTTACACACAGGAGGGATTGATTCTAAGCTGATTGGTTGTGAGGAATGGCCATGACTACAGTGGAGGACTGTTGTGCGGGGGCTGACTCTACCGACCAGAATTGGCTTTAGCAGAGCTCTGGTGCCTGCCCAGTCTGCCCTTTGGGTGTATTTTCTGTGGCTCTAGCCAGGTGATTTCTCCAGCATGCTGTCCAAAGCCAGCCACTTGGTGTGCCAGCCCTGAGGCCTCCGAGGAGGGGCCCTGCCACAGGCTAAGTTCAGCCTCTGCCTGTTCCCTGCTCAGGGCCACTTGGCCTTAGCCATAAAGCATTTCACAGATGTCTTCCTCCGCTTGCCCTGGGCTTAGAGGTGCCTGGTAAAGGCTAAGCTACAGACCCAGGAGGGCTGCCGCTAGTGCCCAGCTTGAGGCTGCTTAGCAAGTACATGGCATGCTGAAGTGAATGCTGCTTGTTTGGGTTTTATGAACCTTTAAGAAATTTTAGGAAAGTCTGCAACAAGAGCCAAGACAGGCCATTTGTGTGGAAAAGCCACTGGAAGTGGCTTAGGTGGGCCTGCAAATTGGGTGTGGCAGGATTTCAGGGAATCATCAGGGTGGGCTGAACAATTTTAGCTAGGTTGATGGAGACTCAGATATGGTGGCTCCCTGCGTCTGCATGCCAGTAGTGGGGAGGGCTCAACAAAGACATAATGGCTTCTGCCAGCACTTCTGTCTGGAGAAAGCTACCTCTCCAGCCTGCCCTGAAGCCAGACAACTCAGTTCCTCCAGGTTTGTCCCTGGCACCTTTCAAGCTGCTTTCCCATAGCTGGAGCCCAGAGTAAGCAAGTCTGTCAGCAAGTAAGTCCGTGTGCAGGCCCTTTAAGAGGAGAGTCTGAGACATCAGCCACCCTCCCTTTTACTCAGCCACCACCGCACTTGTTTTCACAACCAGAAGTTGTGGGGACTTCTTTTCCTGGCTCTGGAACCCTGGGCTGGGGAACCTGGTGTGGGGCGGGGCCCTCTCGCTCTTCAGAGGAAACCTCCACAACTGAGATAGCGCTTCTGATTTTTAACCACCATGTGGATGTGGGACCAGCCGGTTCTGCATCTCCTCTCCTCCTCCCAGTCTCGATATGGCTTCTTCTGTATGTCCTTAGTTATAGGACTTCTGTTCAGCTAGATAGACTTCAGGCGGTTCTCAAAGATGATTGCCCTGTAGTTGTAATTTTGATGTGGTCATGAGAGGAGGCAAGCAAAGCGTTTATGTACTCCACCATCTTGACCAGAAATCTAAGTCATCCTTTTTACATGAATTTCTACTGCACTCTAAAATGAATTGTTGCTGCTTGATCTTATAGCTCTTTTATGTATTGAATTAAACCTGGAAGAGTATCTTTTGAATGTTTGATTAATTGTGAGGTGCATTTGAAACAGCTTCTATTTTATAACCCTTTTGCAGAACGCTCTAACTTTATTTAGGTAACAAGATGCATTGAATTAAAATTGAAAACCTGACATATGTCTAGAGAAAGTTTATTTTTCTATCTGTGCCTGTGCCTTTTGTAACCTGTACATGAAATTTCATCCTAGCCAGTGTATGATTCTAGAATATAGGGAAGCTGTGGAAATCTGTGCCCTATAAGTGTCATGACTGAGTCACAGTCATGAATCCTGTAACTAACTGAGTGGTGAGTTCCAAGTCTGGATGAATCAAATGAAAGCTTGAGGAACTTGCCATATTGTTTGTCACTCTTTTCTGATCAATGTGGAGCTCAGTTAACTCAGCTTTACAATTGATAAGATGGAGATTAACCCTCCATCTCCCCCTAAAGATTTAAAATAAAGGTGAGGTTTCAATCTAAAGTATGAGTAGGTAGAGATTTAAAAATCTTCAGGTGCCTGTATTATACCTTGAGTACCTTAGCCATGGGTTATATAACCCTAGGTTATAATACCTTAAAAAATAGATTTTAGCATGGCCATTTAAGGTGTTATGTGTTGTTTTTACTGTGTTTGATCTGTTTGTCATTTTAGTGGAAGCGAGTTTAATGCTAAATATAACATTTTAAAAAAATTTCCCCTCAGGACGTTGATTAATGGCCTGGAGGAAATGAAGCAGAATTTTAAGTCATACACTGTTTTTCTTTGCTGCTCAGTCTGCTTTTAGATTACTTTAAACAACTTTCTTGGTTAAAAAATAATTATAATATTAGCCAAAACAAAACCCAAATAGTGAAGATATAATAAAAGAAATAATATGTTTAGGCATATCCATTACATTATTCTTTCAGGGAGGACACCAGATACTTGACATTAGAGCTAGCATCAAAAACAGTAACATATATGATCAGTCCTGTGGAGTATTTATAGTTTATTTTTAGGAAGTTATTTTAGTTGAACAATTTAAGCATTTCCCCCCTCAGGATTTCAAGAGGGTGTGATTTGTCCAATGTGTTTATTCTACTTTTTCAAAGCGAAGTATCTAGCTTTCCAGATGCTTTACTAATTTTATATTAGGTGGAACAAAGTTTTGTTTTTCTCAGTATTACTAATTGATTAGTCAATTATTTCCCATCAGCATTATCTATATCAGTTGTAAACCTGAGGCAGTTTTTCTCCTCAGGGGACATTTGACAATGTCTTAAAACATTGATGGTTGACACAATTAGGAGGCTGTTACTGGCATGTAGTTTGTAGGGGCCAGGGATGCTATTAAACATTCTGTAATGCACAGAGCAGCCCCCTCCCCCAACAAAGAATCATCTGGCCCAAAATGTTAATGATCCAGTTTGAGAAAGTATGATGTATAAGACTTCATCGTTAAAGTGTAGGGGAATAAAAGCATCACCTATAAATTCAGCATCCATATTTATACTGCCATCACACTGTTTAGCTATTGACTTATTATGAAAAAGATTTGAGGTGGCTTGACATGACATGAAGCAGTTGTTCCTCAAAGGTTATTCAGTTATATATAGGAAGTTATCAGTTTATCTCTGCACTTTTTAAGTTACGGAAATGGCTTCACTTCTTGTTACTGATTTCATTCAATTCTTTCTTTGTTTTTTCAAGCACTTAAATATAATTCCAGTATTATGAAGGAGAAAACCATTCTTTTGTTTATTGCTGGACTGGTGCTCACTGTAATTGTCATTGTTGGAGCCATTCTTTTCATCCCAGGTAAGATGTACAGTTACTATGAGGGAAGGCCAGGTTGATAAGTTGAGGACATTCAGGGGGAAAGGGAGAATATTAGTTTTCTAGGACTGCTAAAGCAAATCGCTACAAACTGAGTATCTTAAAACTACAGCAATGCTTTCACAGTTCTGAAGGCCATAAGTCAGACGTAAAGGTGTCATCAGGACCATACTCCCTCCCAAAACTCTAAGGGAGAATCCATTCCTTGCCTCTTCTAGTTTACTGGAAATCTTTGCAATTTCTTGGTTTATGGCAACATAGCTCCAGTTTCCTCCATGTTAATCTCCCCCAGCCTCCCTCCTCCAAAAACACTTGTCATTGGATTAAGAGCCCACCGGGATAATCCAGCATAAGTTCTTTCTTTCAAGATCCTTAATTTAATCATACCTTTCGCCATATAATGTAGTACTCAGTCTTTGGCTATATAAATTAATATTCACAGTTTCCGGAGATTTAAGAGGTGAACACATCTTAAGGGCCACCATTCAACCCACTACAAAAGCAAACGTCGTTGGCCAAAATATGGAAGTGGGAATGAATGTGAGAAACAAATGGATCTGAAACAGCATTTACATTTGGAGGATGGGAATGGGAGTGGGAAGTAAGGGTATGCGGCACCTGGAAGGAACAGCAGAGACAGGCTAGGACTCAAAGTATAGGCTGTTTAAAGCCGTTTTGTTTTGTTTTGTTTTTTTGAGCACAATACAGTATGAATGTAACGTTTAGGAACATTAGTTTAGCAGCTCTATTTGTACCTGGAGTTAGGACACGGGGAGTAAGGTCATGAATTCCGAAGACAGCTGGGAAGAATAACTGCTTTGACTTTGGGACAGATTGAATATAAGAAATGAGGGGCTTGGTAAGAGAGGCTCCAAAGTTTCTCACTGGAATTCTGTAAGGTGGTTAAGAAGGAGGCAGAGCCAGTTCAAGTGTTCAACATGCTGAGATTTACATGTTGACATTTAGATGTCTTAAGTTTGGTCTTAAATAATCAAGAGGTAACCACTTAGTTTATGTGAAGTTTTGGGGGAAACATTTTTAAAAGTTTAAAGCAATATATAAGAGTAGTATTGAGATTAATACATTTAATAAATTAAGTAGTTTAACTTCCTGTAGAGTAGGAATTATGTAGAAAAATATTTTAAATGTTATTTTTATTTATTAACAGGTGAATATTCAACAAAGAGAGCTAGTGGACTTGGTTTAATTGTTGTTCCTACAGTGATGTTAATAATACTTCAGTACTCTATATTTATTATAAGTGAGTATTTGTTGTTTTAGCACTATTTTGCCTACCTTTTTCATTTAAAAAAACAGCAATTTTGATTCAAATATTCTTGTATGGTTTTTCTTATAGTAAAATTTGGTTTATTGATATGTTTCCTAAGCTATTCTTAGTTATGTTTGCCCCATATGGAATAATTTTAAGGTCAGAATAGATTTTCAAGATATTTAGTTATTTTGTAAAAACTAATTTTTGTATATATGTTTGATGCCAGTCAATGGATTTTTTAAATTATGCTATATAATTTCTTAATGATTAACTTTGTATTCTTATTTCAATTTTTTGAAATTATAAGTAGATAATTAAACATACCCTTTCTCTTCTTTTGCTAAGGCTCTCCTTTAAAAAAAACCCAAAAAACTAGTTCTACAAAATAGTGTTTAAATCATAGATAGTGAAAATATATATATTTTTAATTATTGGCAAATCTTAAAATTGTAGATTTAATACATATAAATAGCCAGCCTATAATTGGTAACATTTTCACTGCATTTGGGGAGTAAATCACTAACATTTTTTTGTTAATATGAAAGAATTTTTTTTCCTATTTGTACATTTAACTCTCAGTCTTAGAGCCTATCTCTGGGTGGCTGTATATTGGAAAGGTATTAATTTGTTATATAAAAACACAGATCTAGATGCACAATATGAGGTATGATGTTTACACGGGCATGCTTGTGGAATGATTCTCTCCACCAGAGCAATTTGTGTGCACGTGGCAAATCCATGCATAATAGCCATTTATATTATAAAATGCACAAGTATAGTGAAAGCAGCATTGTTCCAAGATTTGGACTAAAAACTGCTAGTCCAGCTCAGCTCACTGTGAAATAAAAGACTGTGAGTGTGTGAATCTTTAGCTGACTGCTTGTGTCGAAAGGCATGGTGTCCATCACTGGGAAAGCATCTTCCATCTGACAAGGAACTCCCGAGTCAGTCCTCGGTCATAGGATATTATTCTTGATTGCACAAAATACAAGTCAGAGTGATTGCTTCTTCAACCCTTGCAACATGCTTTTTCTTCAAAGCTCCAGGTATTGGAATGTCCTCCTACAGCATTGCTATATTGATCCTTCAGATCCTGGGCTTCGTGCTCTCTGTGGTTGGGCTAAGCCTCTGTGTTACAGGTAAGAGTCACATTATCTCTCATCCCAATTTGTCTTTTTACTAGGAATTTCTCTTGGATAAAGCTTCTTTTCTTTTTCTTCTTCTTTTTTTAATATATAGACGTTATCTTTTGGAGCAGTTTTAGGTTCACAGCAAAATTGAGTAGAAAATACAGAGTGCCCGTATACATGTACCCCACATACTCACTGCCTCCTCCACTATCAACTTCTACCTCCCTCCCCACAGATTTGCTTCAGTCCGTTGAACCAACATTGTCATGGCATTATCACCCAAAGTCCATAGTTTACATTAGGGTTCACTCTTAGTGTTGTACATTCTAGAACTTTGATAAATGTATATTGACATGAATCATAGTCATAGAAGACAATACAGAAAAGTTACACTGCCCTAAAAATCCTCTGTGTTCTTCCTGTTCGTCTTCCCTACCCTGAAACCCCTGGCAACCCCTGATCTTTTTACTGTCTCTATATTTTTTCATTTTCCAGAATGTCATATAGCTGGAATCATAACAGGATGTAGCCTTTTCAGATTGGCTCCTTTCACTTAGTAATTTGCATTTACGATTCCTCCATGTCTTTTTGTGGACTGATAGTTCATTTATTTTTAGCACTGGATAATATTCCATTGCGTGGATATAGCACAGTTTGTTTATGCATTCACCTATCGAGGGACATCTTGGTTGCTTTCAATACATTGGAAAGGTATTAATTCGTTTTAACGTCACAGATCTAGACAACACAGTGTCTAGAGCTTTTCTCTTTGAACTCTTGTTTTGCACCCACTGAGAACAGTGCTTTCCACATTGCCCTGAGAGTATTGGTTGTATGTGGCTTATGGGCTGGCTGACTGTTTTAGCAGCCAAACAGCTATACCTATATTCGTGGGAGAGCTTTTAAAGTAACTAGGCTCCAATTGGTTAGAGACTTCGGCTTTACACACTATTTTCCATTCATTTTGATATAATAAGGTACATGTCATGAAAGCCAAGGCTTTTTTTATTTTAATAATTTGGAGTCATTTTACTAAGTTAATAATGGATGAACATGTGTAGATAATTTTTTTTCTTGATAAATAGAAAAATAATTGCTCTCCTTAAAACGCGACATCATTACTGTTATTGCTGGTTCTTTTAAAATGTTGTTATTTCATGTGAATTTCTAATACAAAATTTCATTTGTTTTTACAGAGTGTGCCCCAGTGCATGGCCCTCTTCTGATTTCAGGTTTGGGTATTGTAGCTCTAGCAGAATTACTTGGATTAGTTTATATGAAATTGACTGGTAAGTCAACCTTATTTTTGATAGTCTATGCCAAGAATTGCAAATATACAATTTGGGAAATGCTTCAGTTTGTTCTTACAGTTTCAGATTAAAGAAATACATTGGTAACCAATGAAATAGGGTAGAATTCATAGGAATTAATGAAAAGTTTATATGATGGACTAGTTTAAAAGAAAATGCCTTTATGTTTTAAAATGTATAGACCTTAGTAAAAGGAGATCAGGTTGAGGGTTCATTTTAATAAATAGAAAAAAGATTTTTAATTGGTCCATTATTTCTATGCTAGAGCTCTTTCACAGACACCTATTTGTCACTTGCTCTTCTTATAGACTGCCCTAAGAAGACAGGAATTGAAATTCAAAATCTGTCACTTATGTTAATTAAAGAACCGTTATCTTCTGACACTTGACTTCAAAATATATTTAGTTAAAACCAATACAATAAAAACATTGAGTTTTAAAATTTAAGCTTTTGTTACTTTCATTTTCCCTTTTTTAATTTTTCAATTACAGTTGATTTTCAGTGTTATTTTATATTAATTTCAGGTGGACAACATAGTGGTTAGACATTTATATAATTTATATAACTTAAGAATTGATCCCCCTAACTAGTCTAGTCTGGCACTATACATAGTTATTACCATATTATTGACTATATTTCCTATACTTTACATCCCCATGACTATTTTGTAACTACCAATTTGTACTTCTTAATCTCTTTACCTTTTTCATCCATCTGTCACCCTGAGAAACCTAGTACCAATCTGACACCATACCTAGTTATTACAATATTATTGACATTGTTCCTTTTGCCATACCCTACATCCCCATGACTACTTTGTAATGACCAATTTATGCTTCTTAATCCCTTCTCCTTTTTCACCCACCGCCCCAACCCCCCATCTGGCCACCATCAAAATGTTCTCTGTATATATGAGTTTGTTTCTATTTTGTTTGTTTGTTTTGTTCTTTAGATTCCACCTATAAGTGAAATCATATTTCATCTGTCTTTATCTCTCTGACATACTCCACTCAGCACAGTGCCCTCCAGGTCCATCCATGCCGCCACAGTTGGCAAGAACCCATTACCTTCCATGGCCAAGCAATATTCCATTAGATATATGTACTACCTACTTTTTATTTATTCATCCATTGATGGGTACCCAGGCTGCCTTCACATCTTGGCCATTGTAAACAGTGCTGCAATGAACATGTGGATGGATACACACGTCCCCTCAAAGTAGCATTTTGGGTTTTGTCAGCTAAATGCCCAGAAGTGAAATTACTAGGCCCTTCTTTATCTCTAGTTATAGCTTTTGTTTTAAAGTTTATTTTATCTGGTATAAATATTGCTACCATAGCTTTTGTTTTGTTTCTATTTTCATAAAATATCTTTTCAATCCCTTTACTTTCAGTCTGTGTGTGTCTTTCAATCTGAAGTGAGTTTCTTGTAGGCAGCATATGTAAGGGTTTCATTTTCTTACCCATTCAGCCACCCTGTGTCTGTTGATTGGAGCATTTCATCCATTTGCATTTAAAGTAATTGTTGATAGTAATGTAGTTATTGCCATTTTATTATTCATATATTTTTTTCTTCTTAAAGACGTCTCTAACATTTCTTATAATACTGGTTTGGTGGTGATGAACTCCTTTAGCTTTTTCTTGTCTGGGAAGCTCTTTATCTGTCCTTCGATTCTAAATGATAGCTTTGCTGGGTAGAGTAATCTTGGTTGTAGGTCCTTGCTTTTTCATTCTGTTGAATATTTTGTGCAAGTCCCTTCTGGCCTACAAAGTTTCTGTTGAGAAATCCGCTGGCAGTCTTATATGAGCTCCCTTGTATGTAACTAACTGACTTTCTCTTGCTGCTTTTAAGATTCTTTCTTTGTCTTTAAGCTTTGTCATTTTAATTATGATGTGTCTTGGTGTGCGCTTTTTTGAGTTGACCTTGTTTGGGACTCTGTTCTTGGGCTTCTATGACTATTTCCTTCTCCAGATTAGCAAGGTTTTCCGTCATTATTCCTTCAAATAGGTTTTCAATTCCTTGCCCTCTGTCTTCTCCTTCTGGTACCCCTATGATGTGAATGTTGGTACGCTTGATGTTGCCCCAGAGGCCCCTTACACTCTCCTCATTTTTTGGATTCTTTTTTCTATGTGCTTTTCTGACTGGGTGTTCTGTGCTACTCTATCTACTAAATCACTGGTTGAAACCTCTGCTTCATCTAATTTACTGTTGATTCCTTCTAATGTACTCTTCATTTCAGTTATTGTATTCTTTATTTCTGAGTATTTCTTTTTCATGTTTTCTATCCCCATTTTTGAGTTTCCTATCTCTTTGTTGAAATTCTCACTGCTGTCATTGATCATCCTTATAAGCAGTATTTTGAACTCTGCATCTGGTAGATTGCTTTTCTCCATTTTGTCTAGGTGTTTTTCTGGAATTTTGTTGTTTTCTTTCATTTCGGACATGTTTCTTTGTCTCCCTATTTTTGCTGCTTTCCTTTGTTTGTTGCTATATATTAGGTATGGTCGTAGGAGAGTGGCCTAATGTAGTAGGTGTCCTATTGAGCCCAGTAGTGCATTCTCCCTGGTCACCTGAGCCAGGTGTTACAGGTGTTTCCCTTGTGTGGGTTGTATATGCCCTCCTGTTGTAGTTGAGCCTTGGTTGCTGCTTGCACATCAGTAGGAGGGTGTGGCCCTTAGGCTGATTGGTTGTAAGGACTGGCTCTGTCTGACAACAGTGGAAATGCTGTTGTGCATGGGCTGACCCTACAGAGCAGGATTGGCTTAGCAGGGCTCTGGTGCCTGCCCAGCCTGCCCTCTGGGTGTGTCATACTTGGAAGTGGCTGGTGAAGTCCGTGTTCCCTCTGAAGTTGGTCACTGGGCCTGCGAACCCAGGGGCCTCCTGGGAAGGGCCCTACCACAGGCCAAGTTCAGCCACAGCCTGTACTCTGCCTGTGGCCACCTACCATGAGCCACAAAGCATTGACAAATGGCCGCCACCCACACTGGGCTTGGAGCTGCCTCGATAGGCCAACCCATGAACCGAGGCTGGCTGTTGCTAGTGCTGGGCCTAGGACTGCTCGGCCAGAGGTACAGGACATGCTGAAGCCAGATGCTGCTTGTTTGAGTTTTGTGAACCTTTGCGAGATTTAAGAAAGCCTGAAGCATGAGCCACGACAGCTCATTTGTATGAAAAAGCCACTGGAAGTGCCTTGGGTGGGTTGGAAAGTTGGGTGGGGTTTCAGGGAATCACCAGGGCAGGGTGAACAAACAGTGTTCGCCAGGTTGATGGAGACTCAGATATGGCAGCCACCTGTGCTTACATGTGGGTAGAAGGGAGGGCTCAACAAACAAACATTGGCTTCCGCCAGCTCTTCCATCAAGAGAAAGCTCCTCCTCCAGCCCCTGCCCTGAAGCCAGACAATTCAGTTCCTACCCATATGTCCCTGGCACATTTCAAGCTGCTGCCCCAGTGTTGGAGCTCAAAGAAAGTGAGTCCATGACGGGCCCTTTAAGAGGAATGCCTGGACTGCAGCAGCCCTCGCCTCACTCAGCAGTAATCTGCTGATTTTCACAGCCAGAGGTTATAGGGACTTCTCTCCCGGCTCTGAAATGCTGGGTTGGGGAGCCTGCCTGGTGTGGGGCTGAGACCTCTCGCTCCTCCAGGGTCGGGGGGGACCTTCAAAGTGGAAAGATATCCCTCCTAATTTTTAACGGTCACTTGCGGGTGTGGGACTAGCTCGTTCTGCCTCTCTGCCCCTCCTACTAGTCCTGATGTGGCTTCTTCTGTATGTCCTTAGTTGTAGGACTTCCATTCAGCTAGACTTCAGGCGATTCTCAATGGTGGTGGTTCTGTAGTTTAGTTGTAGCTTTGATGTGGTCATTAGAGGATGGAAACACAACATTTACCTACTCTGCCATCTTGACTAGAAATCTCCGGGCTTTCATTACTTCTAAAATCAATTTTTGATAAGTTTGGAATTAGGTTATTGTTTCTAAACTGTATTTAATCTGCCAATTTTCAATTGACAGGTTTCTGTATGTTATTTTAATACATATGTATAGAGATAGATGCTTTTAATAGTGCCTAAAACTAGGGTGTTGGCTTACTTAAGCTAAAGATGTTCCCTACAATCTGGTTTATATTAGTGTCTCTTAAAAAAATAAAACAAAAAACTCTATTTTTTTATTTATGAAGTAAAGCAAACTCTTAAACATTTATCAAAATAATCAAAAGTTACAAACTAATGGAGTAAAAAAAAGTCTTTCTGCTTTGCTTTATGCAAAGTTTACTGTATGTGTTTCTAAGAATTCACACAAACCTTGAATTGTTACAGTCAAATAATTTTCCATATGTCTTGCCTAGTACATTCAAATAAATTTTATCTTTATTTCTGAACTTCAGCTTTTGCTGACTGATAATTAAGTTGAATTATGTAATATATTCTTTGTCTCCCTTTAATGCTTATGAGATAAACAATTAAAATACAGTACTTACCTAAAATTTACCTGTCTTTAATTTGTGTTCATAATATCAGAGTTGTTTTGTCAATACAATTTTCTTAGTTCGTGCCTCATAAGTCCCTAAATACAATTAAGACTTCTGAAGCTGAATGACATTCATTTGGTGGCTATCGTGAGCATCACATTGTGAATGTTGATATAAATTCTATTTTGGTTGAGTCTTCTAATCACCGTTTGCCTGGTTCTTGAAGATAACACAGTTGATTATGCTGTTCCCAGTGAATGCCCGAGAACAGTATATGACCTGCAGTAGCCATGCAACATGATGTAGTATTAGATGTCATTGACTGAATGTCAGCTCTCTCTGTTCTTTTTCCCCTCACTATCTGGATCGCCCTCTCCTTCATTGCCATGCCTTCCATGTCTAACAAAGAATGATGCTCAGTACACTTCTGAACAGGTCTGGAGATGCTAAGTCAAGTGGAAATAGGCATTGCCTAGCATTCCGCCCTTTCCTATTGCTTACATCCCTAAGAAGCCTGTGAAACCAGTGTAATTACAAACTTACTGTTCTCAAAGTGAAAGTGAAATTATGAGAAGTTCCCTGAGTTATTTTTTTAATCATAGTTGAACATAGAAATATATGTACGAGGTATGATCAATAAATACAGGGACTGTTTAAATAAAAAAATTATTATAGTAAAAGACACATTGCCATTAATCCTCCTCAGAATACTCCCCCTCACTTTAAACACACTTATTCCATCATTCTTGCCACTTTCTGAAGCAGTTCTGGAAGTCCTCTTTCGTGAGTGTCTTTAATTGCACTGTTGTGGCTGCCCCGTTGTTCTGAATTGATTCAAAACGTTTACCTTTCGTGGTCATTGTGACTTTGGGGAAGAGTCAGAAGCCGCACAGTACCAGGTCTGGTGAATAAGGTGGATGAGGAAACGATATAATGTTTTTATTTGACAGAAATTGCTGTATACCAGAAGGTATGTGTGACACGGAGCCTTTCCATTGTGATAAAAACATATGGTGAATGCTGCTGCCGAGTGCCGTCCAACAGAAAGGCAGGGATTTCAATACGGAAAGTGGCATGTCTTACCTTAGTAACAGAGTGTGACAAGTTTCAACTTGTTTGGTGCAATTAGTCGGGTGTGAGCTGTGGTTGAGAGAAGGTGTGTTTTAAAGTGTGCCGTAAATCATCCTCCATCATGACAATGCTCCGTGTCACACATCGCTTCTGGTGTATGGCAATTTCTGTCAAATAAAAATATTAGAGTGTGTCCTCATCCACCTTATTCACCGGATCTGGCACCATGCGACTTCTGGCTCTCCCCAAAGTCAAAATGATTCAGGACATGGAGGCAGCCACAGCAGCACAACTAAAGACACTCACGAGGGAGGACTTCCAGAACTGCTTCAGGAAGTGGCAAGAACGATGAGATAAGTGTGTTCTAAGCAAGGGGGAGTATTTTGAGGTGGATTAATGGTAATGTGCCTTTTACCATATTTTATTTTTAATTTAAACATCCACCGTATTGTTTGATCACACCTCATTAAGTTAAGAATTTAGTCTGATTTTATTGACATGTTGAGAATATTCTAAATTAACTTTCAATATCAACTTGTCTGATGCCAGAGTTCAGAAGCATACCTTTCTTCAGCTGAAGGCAAGAAGAGAAAAAGGTACAGGAAAGCTGCTCCTTAGATACGGTAGTAGACTAAGAGAACGGATATGTTTGCCTTTCTTCACCTGAATTTTTAAATCTGAGTATAGATAGCATTAAGGTTGCAAATTTGAGCATTTGAATCAGGAAGTAAAAATTATAAATGTTTTGAAAATAACTTTTATTCATTGCAGATGCTCTGTTTTAAAAAAGCCTAATGAATGCGCATTGACTTAAGTGCAATAAAATCCTCAGATAGTTTAAAAAAAAAATTCCAGCTCTCTAAGATTAAGCTAATGTCCCTATGAGAAGTTTAACTTGTGTCATTCTCATTATTTCCAAGTTTAAATTTGTAGCCTTAATTGTTGCTTTAAAGAGTAGAATTTTAACTTTCATTTTTTTCTGGTCTTTTAACAGTTTGATTTTTTTTCAGTGGAAGCACTTAAATTTTATAAAATGAAATTAGGGACTGGGAACAATAACAATGTGAGAGCATATAGAAAAGTAAAAGAATTGAGTAAACTTGGTAAAATTGGGCTTTTTTATTTATTGGGTTGTCAGAAAAGTCATGACGTATTTTTTCTATGTTTTTCGTTGCAAAAATGCGTCATGACTTTCCCAACAACCCAATATATGTGGTGTTTATATTTATTCTTTATAAGGGTAAATTCTCATTTTTTAAAAGCCATTTGCAGTATATGGGCATATAATTATGTTTTGATATAAATCAACCTACTAGCACTCAGAAACCATATTTACCACATCTCAGGTAATTTAGAATGACACAGAGTAGGCTATAGATAGATAATAGATATCAAAAATTCAGTGATGTTTTCTTTTCCCCATTGTCGAGGAGAGGTGAAGCTGTGTCAATAGAAAAAGTATTCCTGGAAATTCAAAACCTACAAATATATTTATGGCATGTGTAAGTGTTTCAGGGAGAGAAGAACAAATCAAGAAGCATTGCAAGCGAGCTTATGAATGCTTAATGATTGTGGTTTAAAAATATGTAGATATGGCTTTCAAAGCCTTAGGCCCATGGTGGCAGCAGATAAATCACAGTCATTCTTTTGTCACATAGGTCATATGCTTATTGGAGAGGATTAACTCAAGCAAAATTAACTTCTGCACTGTTTGGTTTTATAACATTAGAGGGATCACAGCTGACTCGTGTCCCTTTGAATCAATGTTCTTTATAGATATCTCTTTTCTTCAGAAAGGCCTAGCCAAATGTGATGTTTCCTGTGCCTGAAAGTTGGAACTCAGAAACTATTCTTTATACATTATTAGGGTAGCAAAGGAGTTGCTTGGCAATTCTTAATACTAATTCTGATGAATCAATTTCTGAGCTCAAAAATTTAACTCTAAAATCTTACCTATGACCCTTCACATTACCAATCAGAAATTTACATAGCTGTTCTCTTTTCCTTGCTAGAACATAGATAGTGGGCATGGTTTAGTTGAAGTAAGTTGTATTATATATACATGTGACAATCATGATGGTGCTTAAAGCCTATAATTCTGCCTGGTTTATTTGAAAAGCTGCTAAAATGTGAATTGGCTCTTCTTCCCAACCCATTTCACTTCATAGTACTTTAAAAAGAGGTTTCCTTCTTGTTTGTTCGTAAGGACCATACCACTCTGTAAGGGAGATTTACTTTAAAGCCACACGTGAAACTAACAGAGATGGAAATCTCATGAGAGCAGACACATAACTGGGCCTGACAGAGGATGGAACAGTAAGTATTGGGTTGTCGGAAAGCCCCATGACGTATTTTTTTATGTTTTTCATTGCAAAAATGCGTCATGATTTTCTGACAGCCCAATAGTTTAGAAATTGGAAGGATTCAGTACATCTCAAAGGACTGAGTCATCACATTGCCCCCTCAGTAACTAGAGTTAGTTAGCCCTTCTGCCCTAGTTATAGTTACTTAGTTCTTCCTTCTGTGGTCCTTTACCTACTAGCCAACTAGTTCATCCTCTCCTTTATGTCCTTATTTTTCATCCTATTTACATGTTCTCACTGATAGCTTTTCTTACCTATAGCTTTAAGCTTTGAGCTCCTTACTTACTTTCTCTTCTTGTCACCTTCCTTTACCATCACCAGCTTTCTACTCTTCTTTCTGTTTCTCTCCCTTCACATTTTAGTAGGAGAGAGAAACGTTTCAGGCTAGTCACTTGCCATTTTCCCTGTTTGAGAGAGCCTTATCAGGTCCTGGCTAGCCGAGAGAGAGTGGCTGCCCTTTGGTCCAGTCTCACCCCCATTTCCCATCCGCTTCGGAACCTTGATAGAGTAGACATGGAGGAGTGGTAGTAAATATACTTATTTGCATAGAAAGCTAGGGCAGTTCTGGAGGCCTGCCTCAATCAAATCCAGCACTGTCATCCAATTCAGAGAACACTGGGATTGACGACTCTAACCAGTAGCACCACCCTCCTATGGAGTCATTCACAGGATGCTGCCAGTTGATGCTTTTGTATCTGTAGGGCTCTGATTCTGTATTAAGGACTGGTTTTAGCTGCCCTGCTCTGGGTCCTCCTCACTTGGTTGTGTAAGGAAGCTCTCTCTTCTTCTCTATGCAAGTAGAGCAGCTCTTTTTCCTTCAATCACTTTTTTTATGCCCTATTTTCCTTCATCTTCATTAACAAATCCATTCAGAGGCAGTGAAGGGTCAGCTAAGAAGGAATGCACAGAGAAGGGCTTGATTGTAGCTAAAACTAGCTGTCTAGAATAATTCTTTAAGCTCAGAGGGACCTGAATATTTTCTTTCATTTGTTAGCTATCTGGAGCTTTGAAAACTGGAAAGATAGAAGAAGAAGAAGAAATAAGCCAAGGCCACAAGGAACAAGAGCAGGGAACTAAGGGTGGGCAATGTAGTGGAGGCAGTGATTGGTCACTGCCACTTTCCACTTTGCGGCTGGGTTGAGTAGAGTCTACAGTGGGGGTGAGGACGGTACAGCGTTTTTCCACCACAAGGTGTAACAAGTGACTGATTTGGGGAAGATGCACAAATGAGAGAATATGTATTTTTATTACTTGATCTAGGTAACGCATTTGCACCCTTTTATTCCATCAATTCATATAATCAAGAATATTCTATATTTTTTAATAGACTATTAAAGCTGGAACTCTTTCAGTGGAATTTCAGGCACCTCTAGTTTTAGCCCTGATCATTGTATTTTAAAATTTAACATTATATTGCCTTAATTTCATTTATCCATTTTCTTATATTTTTATTTTATCAGCGGCCAATCAGAGGACTATACAACCACCTAGGGTAAGTTAAATTTTCTTAAATGAATTGGTCTGATCACATGATAGTTTTAGAGACTGAGGAATGGTAATTGATATACTTGAACACTTTCACTGTTTAGTGTAATGTCAAATTAAGAGAACGTTGAAGTTATTTCATGACCTTTTCATAAAAAGATCCAGTTTTATTTTAAAACCTGTGGTCATAGGGATAGCAATGGGATAGAATAAATGATTTCTTAAGAATATGCTGACTTCTTGAAAGTTTACATGTAAGAATAACCGTCATTATCTCTACTGAAGGAAAGCTGATTCTAATATATTATACATCACCAGTTGGATTCATTTGATGTGCATATGCAAAATGACATTTCAGGCTTAAAAATGAGGGAGGGAGATTTATATTAAATTGATTTCATTAAATAATCTATAAAATAAATGAAATATTGCTTAAAAATAACTACTCTGAATGATGATTCATTTCCCTCCTTCCCCCATTTTATAAGCATTTTTCTTCCTCCAAGCTGTGCCGTAGTTATACCTTGAATACCTTAGTAAGCTATCTGAGAAAACTCCAAGAAAAGGAATAAATTTAGGAGGTAAACTGAGAGGGACAAATAGGGGGTGTTTAAAAAAAATCCCTTTATAAATAGAGATTCATCATGGTGACAGGCACGAGAACTACTTTATGGAAATGAGATCTGGAAAAGACTATATTGTAGTCATCTTCCTATGAAAGATTTAATGATAGCTCTATCTGGAATGCCAAAAGCGAGACTCCTGGGTGTGCCAGGAATGGAGATTACATATGCTCCTAAATCTGATGAGCCTCAACAAACATGACTGAAGGGCAAGAGGGTGGGGGTGCATCTACCACAGGTGTTTATTCTAAAATGATCAGTGCCATATCTACACTGGTCACAAACACACAGCAGTTTTTAATATGTCTCTGTTTGAGATAATCCAGCCGTTAAGACCCTTAAATCCTAATACATTTTCTTTCCCTGTTACTGAGTTCAAGTTGCATGACTTAAAAATGATTCTGTTTTGCTCTCGTCTCTTGTATAACTGTATTATTTATATGTTGCTATTTATGTTTGCACTTTAACAATTTTTTTGAGAAGTTAGGATTTCTTGAACTGAGAGGCTGGGTAGGATGGGAAATTCTGCATAGAAAAAAAATAGTAAGAGAATAATACATTTATTATTAAACTATTAGTGAAACTTGGCAAGCTTTGCTTTTTCGCCTTGGTTTTATACTATAAGACTCACTGTTTACTATATACTTTTAGTGTACATACATTTAGTAGAAAAGAACATGAAATAAATTCTATTTTTATATACATCTATTTTAAATATTTTCCAGAAAGCTGTAGAGGAACCCCTTAATGGTATGTGGTTATTACAAACTTGTGTATTTTTCTTAATTACCAGATCATAATTTGAACTGGCCCCAAAAGCAGTTAGAATGTTCTGTCTATGCCTTGGGAAGAATCTAGGTGATTTTTTGTTTTGTTTTTTTTCCCTTGCCTTGACCTCTTTTTTATTATTATTATTTATCAAGAATTAACAGTATTGCTTTTGTAGTGTTCTTATCTCTGAGAAAAATACACTGTCTCCCAAGTAGCTGCTTGCACTAACCAAGTGATACTGGGCGAGGGGACCTTTCATTGCCTTTTCATATTGGCCAAGATAATGTGTCACACCCCCAGTAGAGAAGAATTTCAATTCATTTTAATTTCTGATTTATAAATTTCAGAAAGATAGAGACTGTCACCATGGAGTGAGACCAGAACATCTCACTTGCTTTCTCCCTAAATCTAGAGCTGTGTTCCCATCTGACTTTGTTTCCTTGTGGGGGCTGTGTGTATGATCCATGGAAAGGCATTTGGAATAAAATGCCTTAAAATTAATTTGGATTTATAGCTGGGGAGTAGTTGGCATGATATTATAGCATATTTAGAAATGGTTTTTAATTGTGGAACCTTACTAACTGCTTACTTGGTTTGTTACTAATTCTTAGCATTTAAAGAATCAAAAGGAATGATGAATGATGGTAAGTATAAAAAATGCACCTACAATTATAGATTGGTTTAAAATATGGCCAGTGAAAAGAAATCAAATTGCTTCTTGAAAATGTTTTTTTTTAATAAAAGGGACACTGTCAAATCATAAAGGTTTATATTTCTTGATTTATAAAACTTAAATCTACTGTTAAAATTGCAAAACTAGTAATATAAAAGCTGTAGGTGTCAGTAATCCGACTCTCCAGTCATATTGCTCATAGCAAAATTAATGCTTTTTAAAAAACCTTTTTAAATGTGGTGTCTGGTGACTGTAACTTTAAAATAGTTCTTACAAGACACATAGATAATCTGGCACAAATTTTGATCATCTTGACAGAGTTTCATTTGTCCTGTGTTGCTGATTTTGTTGCATTTAACCCATGGTGACTTAATAGCTCTACTTTTCTAAGCAGGAACTTGGTTCTAACCTTTTAGCAGAGGATTTAACAAGAGAGTGGCGAAAATGTTTAGTCACTCCAGCTTTTGCTTCTTTCTGGGGACTCTGGGCTAACATCTTAAAATTTTTCATAAATACTGTGAAGACTTCCAATTGTTCTTAAAGATAAATAAGCCAGAGATATTGAGTACTGTATTTCATTTTGATTTTATCTTAACATGCTATTGATACTTCAGTTCTGTTTACATTTTAATGTGTTTGTATCTTATCAAGAATTTCTTCATACCTTTGGTATTTGCAGTCATGCCTTGATCATATAAATAGTTCACTTTCCATTTTACTGTTTTCAAATCTGTGACTTACCTGCTCACCTCTATAGCAAAGTACAGCATTTAATTTAAGAGGCTGTCGCCCCAAGTACAATTCATTTTTGCATAAGATTAAAAACACACCGATTGTGTGTTGCTGGATTAAGTTTACAGAATGATCCCACTTTGTAGGTTGTGTCACAGCCTTTGTTACAAAAATGCATGTTTTGTTATACTAACCATGGCCCTCCTAAAAAAAAAAATCGTAGTTAATAGGAATAAATTAAATGCCATTAAAAAAAACACTGGTGCTGGGAATTGTGGCATGGTTTGTCTTTGTTTTTATTCTGATGTTCTGTTTTTTTAATTCCTTTGTTCTTTCCTTTTCCTAACGTGGTGTCATTTTCCTGTAGTTGTATGAAAAAACTAAATTCCTTTTCTCCACTGTCAGAAAACCAGTATAAGAACCTTGAGTAGCTCTTCCTTTGTTAGCTTCCCTTAAGATGTGACTTTTTTTCAACCACTATATCAGGAGATACAGCAGTTTTTCTTTGTTCATAGCACATAAAATCTATAATGACTTGAAATTCCCTTAATTTTGCTAACATTTAACTGTTCAGAATTTGTTACTTTCAAATGTCTGTCCGGTGGCTTTTCCAACTGACAACTGCACGATGCTTATAGTACGTCTGTCTTGTCAGTGAATGAGGTTCAGAATACCCTCCTAGGGACCATAGTACCATTTCCACTTTTACTTGTACCTAATCACAGGGTTGGTTCACATACATTAAATGAAATAGATCTAAGGTGAATGTGATAGAATATTAGTCTATGATCAATATCTTTTGCTTTGAAAAATCAGCATCTTTTGGCTTCTCCTCAACTAATCCAGCAAATGGAAATGATCAGACTTTGTTGATCTTTATTTTCATTTGACATTGGCCTTTTACTTCAACTAAAAAGGCTAACAATTTGCCTGATTTATGCCTGCGACCGTTACAAATACTTTTCCTTTATTTTTAGATATTATGTACCTGAAATCATTCTAAATTTTTGTAATAAAATACATCAACTTGTTAATGCATAGAAAATAGACTGAATAGTGATTACATGTTCATTTTTCAATTTTGCAGAGTAACTGAAGTGATGGACTCTGATTTGGGGAAAGTAAGGTGAAAAGAATATACTTTCTAAAGCACCATGGCCTTGATTCACTGTTCAAGAGAAGAAAACAAGAAAAGTAACTGGTTTTCACTTATGAAAGTAAATCATTTAAATGGTTGTTGAAGTTATGTTTTTATTCAAAGCATTTTTAATTTAGTTAATAAAATAATTATGATATGTGTTGTGTGCCCAATTGAGATCCAGTTTTTTGTTGTGATTTTTATTCAATTAGGCGCAAAAAGTAGAGTTGGCAGCTTCCAAGAATGATGCCTTTCAGATCCTAGGACCTCTTGATCCTAGGTCACCAGAAGAGAATCAGTTGAAGAAGAGAATTACCTGGCACTAATTTGGTGGCTACCCAGAGATATCTTTGAAAAACAGTGGCTTCCATCGAACCTTAGCAAACTCAGGTTCATAGCCACTTTGGCAGTCACGGTGTTCACTGAATAATGTGTCTGCCAATTCCGGGTCAAGGGAAGAGCAAATTAAGTACATATAGTTGGTTGGGAACATTTTGTATGCTGCCTTCGTGTGATGTAATACTGATGGAGATCGTGGTCTTCATTCTTGGGGTTGCCATTCACACATTCTTCCTTCAACATACAGTGTAACAGATTCTTTGCAGTGTAAGGGTAATTGATGTATGTGTTTTTCTTTTATTCACACAACTCTTTAAACCCTGTCTTGTCCTCCTGTTATTTGCTTCTGCTGTACCAAGATATAGCACCTTTTCTCCTCTTTGAACGTGGTCCAGTGATACAGTAGCATCATTGCAGAAAGGAGCCAGACTTGTTCTCAGAGAACTATGTTCACACTTTTCAGCAAAAATAGTGATGGTTGTAACATATGCATTCCCTTCCTTGGATTTGAAGGCACAATCTACAGTGTTTCTTCACTTCTTTTGTGACCTGGGGCATGAAAAACCAAGATTGAGATTTGAACTATGAGTCTCCTGCATGGCAACATAACGTGCGTCACCGTCTGGCCAATAGACCAGCCCTCGAAAGGGTGGTTTTATTACTGTTGTATCTATGTTGCATGATAAACATTCATCATCTTCCTCCTGTAGTCCTGCCTCGTATTCCCCTGACTCTGAGATTGAAAAGTAAAACAAAACCCCCACATTTCCTACCCCCATTAGAAGAAAATTAACATTCTGACAGTTGTGATCGCCTGGAGTACTTTTAGACTATTAGCACTCGTTTTCCTCCTTTGTGGGTGTGTGTTTGTATGTGCACATGTATCAGATAGGCACATGCGTCTTCTGTATGGACAACCATGGGGTACCTACAGGAGAGCAAATGCTATTCATGCTTTTAGCAAAAACATTTAAAAACAAAGATCTTTATTGGGTGGGATTATAGTTGATGCGAATATTTGATCTCGCAAAACTTTAAAAACTTCTAGGTAATTTGCCAAGTTTTTTGACTGCTCACCAGTACCCTCTAAAAATACTAGAGATTCTTTCTCTTTGTGTAATAATAAGACATTCACATTTGTAGTTGTATTACTAATAGACATTTCGTAGTCCACTGAATGTTCCCATGTGCCTCTTTTATGCCAAATTGTCACATTTCATGTTGGGACCAAGTGGTTTGCCCATGGCAGCCCTAACTTTATGACCTGCTGATGCCTCTCTGAAAACTGAACACACTATGAAAACAGCTCTTCTTGAAAAAAACAAATAAATGAAAATAATGTTTTCCTAATTGTGTTGCTGTTCAAAATATTATCATACGTAGAGGGAGCTGTATTCCTTTATACAGATCTTGTGGCTTCTGCTGCTCTTTTTCCTTCTGAAAATATTTCTATTTTAGTAATATCATTTGTTACTTTAAAAATCAATTTTGTTGAAAGGAGGAAAACAGCAGATGGACTTGAAAAAGATCCAAATTCCTATTCTGTATTAAGAAAAAGTCAGGTATGAAAATCTTTATAGTAAACTTTTTTATAAACTAACGTACCTTTTAATATGCAGTAAACTCCTTTATTTGGGATCCAGCATTGGGACTTATCCATCCTTTGAGTTCTCTGTAATGCTGCCTATTTTTTGAGGCATTCACTGCCCTAGACAACGCACAGAGGTAGCAGGAGAAATGCCAGAGGAAATCAACTCTTGTTCTTACTAGTTGTCAGCTTCCCTGAAAAAGGGACCACAGCAGCAGGAGCCCTCTTGCTTGGGCATCATTGGGCCAGTTCATTCTTTTTCAATCAGACTTGTAATGGCTCTAAATTTTCTATCACACCTAATTAAAATTGCTAACAATATTTTGGGCATCATGGACCTGTTCCCCCCCACCACCACCACCACCACCGTAATCTGCTTTGGACTCATTCCAATTTTTGCCATTGACTCTTCTGTTCAGTTTTATTTTATGTCCCCAGTGTGACGCCATTTGTCATTTTTGCAACAACTGTTTCAACTTTTTTGGCCAAATCAAATTTATTCTGTCCTTCAAAACAGTATCCTCCAGTCCTTCCTCCTCCACTGGCTCCTCTTTGCAGCCTATCCCCATCTGTCTAGCTGTCCCTTTCATCTTTACATACCTTTCCCAGTGCTTCATGTCTCTCTGCTTAGCTCAACTGGTTTATTTGTATTGCTTCTCTCACTTGATTTTAAAATTTCTCCATCGCAAGAGCTGTTTTTTTATTCTTCCTGCAGTGTTTTATATACATTAGATACTCAGTATATGTTTGATGATTGAGAGTTGACTGTATGTAGGTATCCCACTATTTTTAATAGGGTAAGCTAGAGAGTTTTGTTGTTTTTTGTTTTTTGACAAATTTCACAGGCTCTGAAAACCTTAAAAGATGATGATTTGTCACCTGGGAACTCCAGGTCCATTTTGTTTAAATTTCTGAGAATGTTAGAATTCAAATAATGAGGCTGTCCCATAATTGGGAGCGTTGCTCTTTTTAGGATGCTGTAGTCAATCCAGTAAATGACCAAATTGCAGTTTGAGTTAATAAAGCTCAAAAAGTGATAAGTTTGCTCCTCTATCTCATTAATAAGAATTAAGCTCTATATCACCTTCTAGATTTCTCTTATACTAAAATTAATATTAAAAAACGGACATCTGTGGTGTATGTGTGGGAATACATACCCCTTTATTTACCTGTCCTTGGAAACTGGCGAAATGATTGCTGGGAAACCCTTTATTCTTTTATTGTATTTGATGGAGAGTATGTTGAGAAAGTTTTACATGTGTCAGATTTTCAAAATCACTAACTGACATCACCCACTGGAGTCCTTTGTTAAGTCATTTTCCATGGCTGATAGGGACAATCCAGGTAACTTTTAAGAGATGAGCAGTGAACAGGAGGTTTTCCTGCCTTTGGTTTTTGACAGCTCTTACTTATCATGTAAAACCAGCTTTCCCACAAATTTAGCCTTTAAAAACAAACAAACAAAAAAAAAACATTTGCAATCAGCTTCTCTGTAAGGCAGCCGCAGTGGAATCTTAGAAGTGTTGTTACCAGAGTTGGTGAGAGAGGGAAACATTTTTGTTTTTATTAAATGGAGCATTATTTACAAAAAGCCATTGTCAAGAATTAGATCCCACACCGGATGAATATCCATTATCCATTTTAAGTAAAGAAAAGTCCAGTGTTGCTATGTGCAAGATCCTCTCTTGGGGTCTTTTTTCCGTAGCAATTAAAGGTGTGCTATTTGTCAGTAGCCATTTTTTGCAGTGATTTAAAGACCAAAGTTGTTTTACAGCTGTTACTGTTAAAGTTTTTTTTTATATGTATTAAATCAATTTATCACTGTTTGAAGCTTTGAATATCTGCAGTCTTTGCCAAGATACTTTTTTTATTTAAAAAAAACATAACTTTGTAAATATTACCCTGTAATATTCTATATACTTAATAAAACCTTTTAAGCTATTTTGTTGGGCTATTTCTATTGCTGCTACAGCAGACCACAAGCACGTTTCTGAGAAATTTCATTTATTAAATGTATTTTCAACTCCATATCCTAGGTAACAATGCAAAGGATGACTTAAAATATTAATTTATAAATTATTTTTAAAGTATAATGCCCAATAAGTAAACTTCATTGGAACAAAGTTTTAATTAAAAGTTTAAACAAGTCCAATGTGTTCATTTTTCCCACGGTGTAGTGAAAACATTACGTGAGCAAGCAGCAGGCCTGGGCTGAGTCCTAGCTGTACTTCTAACACAGGACCTCGGCAGGTAAGGCAAGCCACCTACCTGTGTCTCAGTGTCCCTCCTCATCTGTAGAATGAGATAAGCCTCTTCCAAGACTGAAATGTAGATTAAAACAGTTCTCCATTTTCAGGTTATCAATTAGGGTTATTTTGATTGCCAAGTGAAAGAAAACCTAAATCTAAGAAAAATGGGATTTATTAGCTACTGTAACTGAAATTCCAGATACACGGTTGGATTCTGGGCCCAAAACCATGTCATAAGGACCCAGTTTTCAGCCTTCCTCACCTCCCTGTTGCCTTCCTTCACAGGTTACATGTGATGACAAAAGGCTGGCGGTAGTCCCAGACGACCTTCTCCCAAGGTCAAGGAGAGTAGAAGGGAGAAAAGAGACAGTGTGTCTCTTTCTCAGCAGTGCCATTCACCCCAGACTGCACCTCAGAGCTCTGGCTGGGTCATGTGCCTCCCTCACCCAGTCACAGAGGCCGAGCATCTCTGATGCTGACTGAGCCGGCCTGAGGCCCCATGGCTAGCCTAGAAAGGCGGCTCTGTCTGGAGTAGGAGTGGGGGACTGAGGAGAAGTTAACTTGAAGCAAAATTAGGGGATTGTTACCAGATGATGAGATGTCATTAGATTTCTGGGCACAGGCTTCCTAGCCAGTGCTGCATTCCTTGCAGGTATGTACTCTGATTCTGCGTTGTATGTGTGATTGTGGACCATTTGAACGGAAAATAATATTTGGCAGCAAAGGACTGTCTCATCCCCTTACGTCATAGGCAATTTAATTTTTATGCATTTATGAGGACTTTTTCACTCTCAGCAGGAGTAACTAATGGGGTTCAGAAAGCATTTAATGGCCTACCTCCTGCACTGAAAGCTGTTCTGTGTAGCACAGAACCTTACTCAACCTGATTAGAACTCCCACAGAGGTGGAGCCTTCCAAATGCAACTGGATTTCATTTTTGTGGGGCACCTTTCCAGTTCAAGGCCTTAAGTTTGACAGCTTTGGAAAAGAATGGATTATGGTAACTCCATGATTTCACCAGTAGCTCAGATTTAAGCACAATTGACAATATTCGATGTAAGAAGTTGAGACTGTGCCGGAACGCTACATCCAGTGTTTTGCATATATAAGCTTCATGCTCAAGCACCCATCCACCAGATCAAAGGGAAGTGAAGTATTTAACCCTGACTTACAGATAATTGGACTGAGGATAATGTTGAAAACAGCACTACAGACTGCATAGGAGTGAGAGTGGACTTAATGATCATAATTCAACTTACTTAGCAATCATTCATTTATTTGGCCATTTTGATTAGAAGGCAGGAGCTCTGATAATAGGAGCTCAGCTCTGATAATAGCCAGTAGGAGAACAGGTATCTTTTCCCAATTTGGACAAGAGGAAATGCTTTGTACGGAACCCAATTTGGAGAGAGATGATTCGTACGTCTGTACACTGCAATCTGGTGCCAGTCTTGATGCCAGATAGCATGCCAGTGTTCAGAAGTGCAAAGCTGCTGCTGTTGTTCTCTTAGATGTTGCAACACCATGGCATGGTGCTGGGCTCTGGGATCTTCCTTAAAATAGTAATATTTGATCACAGGCCTGCCTTCCAAAAAAGACAACTATTGTTTTTTGCTTTCTAATTTTCTGTGACTTGCCTACGAGCTTCCTCAAGATTAAACTGACAACATGTAAGCTGATCAACTCCCTAAACAAATGGATTGTTTGGAAAGTTGAAGTGTATCTGTTTAAAACATGGAGTATATCTTCCATGGAAGCTCTCTACTTGTTTTAAAAATAAATAGTAATTTAGCTCTTTTGATCATTTTTATTAAAAACATTGTTTATTTGGGGGATGCCCTAGTTAAGCTGCACTATGGGTGAAGGGAACTTTTGCATGCAAACCAATCATCGTATTCGTAATGCATTCTGTGAGGAAATATATCTCTCATGCTAAGGGCCACTAGAAAGTGCTGGAACCTTTGCTTTCCTCACTACTGCACCTCTCCCTAGCATTTGTAAGACTAGCTGCCCCACTGTGTTGGGTGAGCGCCCCATGCTGGCACACCTCCAACCCCACCCACCTCCTCGGCAGATTTTCAGGCTAGGCTCCTTACTCCCCAGGGAGTTTCCACCCTCAGATCAAGCAGACATTTTTAGAATGTAATGTTCATAAGCCTCATTTTTGCAAGTGAGAGGATACATAAATTTGGTTACCCGAAGAAACCTTTTTTTATTGCAATGTTATCAAGTATTCACTTCTCACAGTTGAACTGGTTAGGTATATATCTTGGATTTTTAAAAATTTGATTATCCTGGTTTCAGTAGAGCCCGTGTCTCATATCTTTAGCTATATGCCTAGCTATAAACAGGGATTGTTCTGGTAACAGCTATTACTAAATCGAACAGAAAATATTAGTCTGAGTCCTATGCAGGAATATATTTGAAAATATCAACAAATACCAATTTTTCTCCTATTCAAAAAACATTGTCAGAAAATTATGGAATCTTTCCTTATGCTTTAAGTTGATTGATAAGATTGTGAGGCATTTATTAATTGCCTGAAAAAATTGTTTGAAATTACACAAAATTTATTCAGTTTTCTCAAAAGCATCACATTTAGTAAAATTTAATACTCTTGTATTATTTTTATGTCTCTGGAAAAAAAATATTAAATACACTCTCCTGGGAAACATTTGGCTAAAGGGTTTGAATGGAACAGTTACCAAATCTCATCCCTGGGCCTTCTGGTTAGAATTATTTTCTTCATAAATAGACTAGACAGTACAGAGACCAACAAGCCCTTGGCCTCGCTCCTCAGAAGAAACTGGGACTCTGCAAAGAATTCATAGTATAAGGTGGTAGGAAGGTCTCTGAACAGATTTTTCCTGAGTGACTGGGTCCCATGGGAGACCACTCATTTGCTTTAACAGGTGTTAATGAGGCCAGCATCTCCACCTGAGCCAGGTCCTTATTTATGTGATGCTGTCTTGTTCCTCAAAGGATTTAAAGCGCTCCTTTTGAGTCAGGTAGTCTCACACAGAGGAAATCTGCTTTCTATGATTACACCTTCTTTGGTGAGGTCACAAATCGGCCTTTGGGGTCCAAGGACACTAGAACAATGGTTGGTAAAGAACTCTGCAAAACCCCGCCTCTAAATGCCACGCTCAGCTGGGAGGCCAAGAGATTAATTTATTCATATAAAGAATTATTTTTCCCTTGAGACGCAAAACCATCACAATAATTTTCACTATGCATGGAAAACACATTTAGAAAAATAAAAACTAAAAATGAAACAAAATTCCTGAGTTGACACATTCCAAGTGCCTGGATGCTGTCCAAATGAACCTGGCAGCAGCACAGGTGCTGATGAAAACATTTTATGAATCTACCTTCCCTAGTCCTCCTGGGTATTTTTTTATTCTTCAAATTGGAGATAAAAATAAGGGCTGATCTCTCAACGTGAGGAGAGAGAGAGAGCAGCGTGTGTTCTTCAAAAGACTCCACAAGATAATGAATTTTTTTTAAAGCTGTTGCTGAGTATAGCTGACTTGTAGTTTCAAAGGGCTTTTGAGAAACAAAATCTTTGCAAGCAATAGTAAAGCAACCTAGAAACCCCTGGGGTGACAGTTAGAGTCTTGTCAGGGATTTAAATCTAATTATTAGCTTGAAAGTAACGAAGAGAAAGAACCGGCCAAGTGTCAGCCCAGAAAACAATAATAGCCGTGGTGATGTTCAGCGGCCCAGTCATTAGTGCCCTAAAGGATAGCTCAGCACATTTATTCTTACCCTGGAAAGAAGGCCACAGAGATTTCAGTGCTCTCTGGTAATAGTTTCTTTTTCTAAGGAGTAGAGGCACTGCCTCTGCTTCTAGATATCATGTCTTCTGAGCATCTGGCCAACCTGGAGCTGGCTGTGACGGCAGGCGCTTAGAGAAGAGGCTCTAAGCCTCATGGGGGGTCAGGGCACCCACACCCTGCACGTCACCAGCAGTGTGACCCTGTGCAAGTCACTTGACTGTGCCTCTGTCTCCACTTGTGAAATGAAAATGAAATGTGAAGATTAAATGAGAGACTGCCTGTGAAGCATTTAGCACACTGCCTGGCCCAAGGTAAACACTCAGGAACTATAAGTTATCTCTCTATGTCATCTTTTTATTAAACATTGGCTGGGGAGGAAAATAATTAACATGAGCCATCTAGAGATACGCAATACATGTACTGGAACGTGTATTTCCCCGTCCTGGGTTATTGCCACAGAAGCAAATCGAATACAAAATGGCAGTGTAAAGTGATGTCCTGATGAGTGCAGCTACGCTGCAGACATGTTCACTCTGAGTGCAATGTTCTTTTTAGGACACCCTCTGGTTCCCTTAGAGAAACGAAAGGACAGGAAGGGACTTTAGAGAATGGCATCAAATAACCCTATTTACCCTTGGAATACAAGGAAGGTGAAAGAGAAGGACCTCATCCTTGCGGAACACAGCAGGTCTTTGAAACCCCACTTCTCCTGCCAGCATTACTCAGCTCATCCATTTACTCATTCATGTCAGTGGCTGATTATCAAAATTTCTAAAATGAGTTAAGGGCAGGCCCTCCAATCACTCTATTTGGAATACGATTAAGAACTTAGATCTGTCTTTAGGCTGATAGCCAGCAGAAACTAAATCCAAGAATATGGGAGTGAAGATGGAAGTGAAAATATTGAAGCCTG